GGGGCCTCTTCATTCACTCAACATTTATTGGAAAGGACTCTGTGCCAGGTCCTCTGCAAGGGGCAGAGAGGTGCCTAAGCCGTGGCCCCTGCCCTCGAGGAACTCACAGTCTGGGCGGGGGACAGACACACCCCCGTTACAGTGCCTTGTAATAAATGCCACAGTAGCATGACCCCAGGGCTGGAGCAGCAGGAAGGGAATGGCAGCCCCTGCTTCGGAAAGCAGGTAGGGACCTACACGTGTCAACTCTTAGAGCATAATAGGAGTTCGCCAAGGAGCCAAGGAGGCACGATGCGTGGTGCCCCCGGAGGCATCGGGGTTTGAACAAGCACGATGTGTTCAGGAAGAGGCAGCGCCTGGCTTCCATCCCCGGGGATGACAGGAGGGAGACTGGGGCCAGAGGATGAAAGGAGCCATGGAGGTCTTCAAGCAGTGACCTCAACAAAGATGTACCGTAGAAGGGAGATGCAGTGGGAATAGGAAGAGGTTCCCAGGAGAGACCGAATGTTGAGGCAAGATGATGGAACCCTGAAGTGGGGACGAGAGATGTGGGCCGGACAGAGGAGGGTGGCCACAGGCTGGTGAGGGAACCCGAGGGAGCGGGGGAGTCACAGCCTGAGAAGCAGGACAGGGGGGATGGGCTCCAGGCCAAACACCGTGCTGGGGGTTTTACAAACATCCCCTCAATCGTCCCAACTCCGCGAGGGAGGCAGAACTAACCCCACGCCACAGAGAACGCTTGGAGAGGCAAAGGGACTTTTCCCAGTCACAAACTAGATTGCGGAGTTCTCTGCAAACCCATCATACGCTATGGGAGGGGCATCCAGATACTCTATTCTGAAAAGCTGACATCCCAAAGACTGTTTTTTAGCAAATACTTTGAGAGACTGTGGACAGAAAAGGAATAAAAGAGCATTCATTTCAATTTCATTACCCAGACTGGCTGCCACCCCAATGCGCTAGGCTTCACTGGGCTAGAATCTAGCACCCGACATTTCCCAAGCACTCTCGGAGCTGGTTCTCCCTCTTTTTATGCCATCAGCAGGGAGCACACCCACATCCCTGGTTTGCAGGCAGAGAAGCCAAGGCCTAGAGAAGTGGAAGGTCATGTCCCAGGTCACCCAGTTTCCTTGCCCCCAAATCCACAGCTCTTTCCTCTACCTGTCCTGATCCGTGACTCCTGGGCATTCTGCAACCCCTCGCTCCCCGCTTTCCATCTCTGACCCCGCAGACAGCACCAATGGAACGCCTACTTAGCGAGGTCTGGCCACCTAGGTTCTTATGCAACATGGTCCTTTCTGTAAAGTATTCCTAAGCAGCCCTCCACTGCCGGGCCCATGAGGGTCCCTGTCATCACTCCCCCGGCCAAGGCTCCCCCGGCCAAGGCTCCTCCTGCCTCCGGATCTCCACCAGGATCACAAGCATACACACCACTACTGCTGGAAGTGGAGGTTCTTCCTATAGCCAAATGAAAGCAGCTAACATCACTGAGCACCTACTGGTTGCCGGGGACTCTGCTAAAAACTTCACATAGGTTACCTTAGCCTTGCTACATAACCCAGCAAAAATGGGTATTCTTATCCCCATGTGACAGATGAGGATAGTGAGGCTCAGAAAGGCTAAGTGACTTGCCCAAGGTCAGCTAGTCCTTGAGGTAGGAATCAGAACTCAAGTCTGTCAGACTGCAGAGCGCACTTTATTTTACTCTGCCGGCAGGGCCTGGCTCGCCACTCTACCAGTGCAGAGGCACCCCCATCAAAGTGGAAAAGGAAAAGGGAGGCAAGACAAGAGCTCTTCCATTTCTGCTGCCCAGCTCCCAGGCAGCTCCAGGGAGGCCCATCCCAGAGCGTTTCACTCGGCCACCAGCCCCACCAGCCTGGAACCCTGGGAGACCGACAAGAGTCAAAGGGCTCCCTGGCAGGCTTATTCTGGCGGCCTCCCAGCTGACTTGTGCTAACACAGCAACAGGCACAGGAAAGGCTCTAGAGAGAGTGGAAAAGCACCAGACACTGGGCGGCTGAGCGGGGAGAGAAGTGATTCCTACCCAGCTCAGACAGGATAACCCCGCTCTAAAGCCATCACCATCTCTAGGCCGGGAAAACACCCAGGGCGGGGGGCGGGCAGACACCAAGCAAAGAGCACCAAGCGCCTCCACTTACTAATGTGTTTCAGTGAATCGTGACTGCTGGGCCAGCCCATAAAAAGGGACACATGCCTCCAAGGTGAATCAGCAAGCATGGAAGAAAACCAGTGCCCTGGGGCATCCCAGCAAGCTCAGCCTGCCTTTGCCCACATCCACAGAAACCCTGCTACCCCAGCAGAGGCAAGAAAGCACACACCATGTCCACGCCCCCCCGCGGCAGCAGGTCCCAGCCGGCCGTGGGAAAGAAAGACCCAGCTGCAGATATTAATAGACTTGTCAGAGGCAGAGAGTCAGTGAGGGCAAAGCCCTAGGAGATGAAATTATTTAAAAGGAGGCATAAAGTGAGACGGCTGGAAGAGAGCAACTTGGGTTTCCAAAGATGGGGCTCCTGTGGCCAGGCCCTGGGAGGAGGCACAGCCGCAGTGACAGGCTTACCGTGAAAGATCTGCAAATCCAAACATGTCTCAGGCTGTCGGAAAACTCTGTTGCTGTCGTTTCTGTAGGTTTTCTGTCCCCCAGTGTTCTACTTAGACAGATATTAAACGACACACATGCACCACACCCAAAAGTGTTTCAAGAGAAACCACTCCTGGGCCCTAATATTTGCCACAAGTTGTTAGATTGCTAGAAAAAAAAAAAATGTATACCCATCAGACTTCACTGGAAGGACAGGGCAGTCTCGGAGGTCACAAATCAGCAGCCAGTGGGTCAAATTAACCCCATGGGTATGTGAGCATGCTTAGAATTAAAAAAAATAAAATAAAATAAAATGCCAACATTTAAAAATCAAGTTTCAAAAAAAATGCACAAAAATCTAAATTTCCAGGGGGCACCTGGGTGGCTCAGTTGGTTGAGCATCTGTCTTTGGCTCGGGTCATGATCTCAGGGTCCTGAGTCAAGCCCTGCATCTTCCTGCTCTCACTCTCCCTCTGCCTTCCCCCCTGCTTGTGCTCACTCGCTCCCTCTTTGACAAATAAACAAACACAAAAAATCTTTTAAAAAAAAAATCTAAATTTCTAGCACCTCTTAGGGAAATAACTGAAAAATGTGGCATCACTGGGCAAGCAGCACAAATTGGAGAAGGCCGCATGGCCACCGCCCCCCTTAGGCAGGCCCGTCCTTCTAGTTCCTGGCCTGGCCTGCTCACTGGAGTCACCCGACTGACCCCTGTGCACACATGGCTTTGTCACTCCTCGTTAAGCCCAGGGAAGCGATGCCAGGCTTGGTCATGCTCAGGACAGCCACGGGGCGGCAGCACTGAGCTGTCACTGAGGCCCGCCCACCTGCCAGTGACTAACCCAGCTGAGTTTGGCACATCCTTTCAGAACCAGAAATCTCATCCTTACCTCAGCAGCGGGCACTCATCCCCTCCACTCATCAGATTTATTCCCTAAAAGCAACAGCGGCTCATTTCAGCGCACCCACTAGCCTCAGGGACAGAGGAGGAGCCACTAGCCACTTCCGGTCTCCTCCTCTCTGGCCACCACCTTGCACATCTTCCCAGCTCCTCCCACTCCACTGGAGCATCTCTACCTGTTCAGGCATCCCACCTTCACCCACCTGTTAACACCATCAGGCCTCAGATCCTGAGATAAGAGAAGCAGGACAGACAACCTGCCCCACTTTTAAAGACAGTGCATCCTTCATCATGCGCTCCTCACTTCCTTTTGCTCCCTTAGGTTAAATGTCAGTGGACTTCATGAGACAATAGGTTCTCACGCCTCTTCCTGCCCCCCTGCTCTCACTGCCCTTCCAACAGCACCAGGAACATCTTAAGCGGCAGCATTTAGTATAAACTCCTGAAGCCATTTAGGAAAGACATTTAGACCCTTAAAACTGCTCATCCCATTTCATCCAAAATGCCATTTGCTGGTCCTGCCATTTACTCCACCCCAAATGCAGAAGTTATATTGTATTGTATATAAATATACAATATTTACACTAGTGAACAATCAAAAACAACCCAAGTGTCCAGCAACTGGGAAATTATTAAAAACAAACTATGCTTTATTCCCACTTGATGGGCAATTATGCAGCTATTAAAAACAACTAGGATTATGAAGACCATGTGATAAGACAGAAAAATGATTATGATATGAAACACTAAAAAAAGGAATATAAAATTAAAGGGACAGTAATGATAAGATTATTAAAAAACGGGGCATCTGGGTGGTTCAGTTGGTTGAGCGTCTGCCTTCGGCTCAGTTCATGGTCCCGGGGTCCTGGGATTGAGCCCTGCATCAAGTTCCCTGCTCAGCAGGGAGTCTGCTTCTTCCTCTCCCTCTCCCCTTCCCCCTTCTTATGCACTCTCTCGCTTGCGCTCTCTCAAATAATTAAATAAAAATCTTAAAAAAAAAAAAACTTAAAAAACTATGCCAAGAATTAGTGAAAGGTAGGGGCGCCTGGGTGGCTCAGTCGTTAAGCGTCTGCCTTCGGCTCAGGTTATGATCCCAGAGTCCTGGAATCGAGCCCCGCGTCGGGCTCCCTGCTCAGCAGGAAGCCTGCTTCTCCCTCTCCCACTCCCCCTGCTTGTGTTCCCTCTCTCACTGTGTCTCTCTCTGTCAAATAAATAAATAAGATCTTTAAAAAAAAAAAAAAAAGAATTAGTGAAAGGTAATAAATGCTACCTTTTTAGTTGTACTGGAGCCCAGGGAGTGGGGGGCGACCATTTATCAATCTCTACCAAATGTTCTTTAATGTACATATATTACATTTATAGGGGAAAATGTATGCCTGTGTGTAACTGAAAAATTTGATAGCAACTATTAAGCTCCCCGGTCTACACTGAATTCACATTTTGAAAGGTCCTGTAAGCCTTTTCTCATCATGATAAAAAGGCTCCTGGGAACCTGCACCCCCAGGACTCAGTGCCTGGGCCCATGAGCCCTTGGTTAAAGGTCAGTGTTATCCGACCCTGAAATGCCTGCATTTGCATAACTCCTAAGGAGACTCCAACACCATCTGGAAGATAGGATGAGATCAATATGATTCTCAGATGCCACTTTAATCAAGTTTTGTACCATACAGTGATGGGGGGTGGTGAAAAATGTGACTGTTTTCAAGCAAATTCACCTGTCCCAAGGTAAACAACCTGGGCTTCCAAGAACAGAAAAAGGCTTTCCTCCCCAGGGAGTCTCATTCCTGAGCTGACAGGACAGGATTTCAGGAAGAATGAGTACAAGAAGAGGGCAAACTAGTGAAGGGAGCCAGGTAGCTTTCTGAATTCTTCCCAGTATACACTGGAACTAGGCATGTAGGCATCCCTCCTAAGGCAGCACCCCAACCCCAGCCACTCCCACTTGAGGCCAAAGTGCCTCCCCAAAGAAACAGACAGCCATCATTCATTTCATGACACTCCTCCCCGTGGCGCGCCCAGAAGCGCAGAAGCCTGAGCAGTTTCAGCCACCATACAACACATGCAGCCTTCAGGCCAGAACCCTCAAGGGCCTTCCTCTTCCCTGGCCCCTCGGCTGCTCGAGTGTCCGCCTGGCAACATGAGGGCGGCCAGTGTGTGCGGGGCTGGGTGGTACAGGAGGGGACAGAATGAGCGACACAGCAAATCCAAAGTGGGTTCTGGAGCAGGGTAGACATGGTGGCAGGGCCAGTCATGGCCCACACAAGGACCCATGGGGCTCTGTGTCCTTCGTTAATTCTTCTCTGGGCGGTTTCTGTTCAGGACAGCTTTAGGGGCAAATTCCAGCTTGTCCTTAAGGCTCACCACCTGGGTGTGGTCCTTGCCTAGCAGTTCATCCAGCTTTCGGTCCTCCCGGCGCTCAGAGATGCTCTTCTCCTCCTCCACAGGCTGGGGATCCTTTCCCCGGATGAACCATTCCAGATGGTAACCCACAGCCCCGACCACGAAGGCCACAGGAAATGTGACATAGGGAGCATAGGTACGCACCACGGTCCAAAGCACAGGCCACATGACATCTGCAGAAGAGCACAAGGCAGCATTAGGGAGAAACCAGCATCCCCCTCCCCACCAAATGCAGACAACCCACCAGGGCTCTCCATTCACCAGGCAGCCTGGCAGAATTTACCAAGCACCCACCCCACGCAGAGTACCACAAGATGGTACCCTGCTTAGGCAACAGGGCCCTGAAACAATCTAGAAAATTTTGAAAGACGTGACTGTTAGGGAAAAGGGGAAGGATCTCTATTTTATGTACTATATCTCACTGACCATTATGCAACCATGTTTGGCAGTGTTCCCCGAAAGGGGAACCTCTGAGCTTACCTAACAAGGATTCAAGCCTGTGATTGACCCCAGGCCCTCCCTCCACAGTTTACCAACATTTCAGGAATGGAAAAGAGCCCTTCCCTGCTCTATGCAATTTCTCCATGAACACAGCCAGCCACACTTTTCCCACTGTGTATAGTCCCACTGCGACTCTCCTGGTCCAAGATAATGAGAAATAGTTCCTTTACCTCACAAAAAGAATAAGGAGTCTATTTAAATAGCCAAAACCCTAATCCATTACTCAACCATTCTGGATTTTAGATAATGATTTTTTTCCTATTCTGAACTTGATCTTTCTAACAATGAGACATACCTATACTTTACAAAACTGCCGGCCAAACCTCTTTCAAAATACATTCTCTTCAACCAAACCCATACCCTCCTATTTGCATAATAAACTCCTAAAAATATCACCAACACATTATACATACTCTGAACGTGACAGGTCTTGAATTTTTCTGTAAAAACAAACAAAAAAACAAAAACAAAACAACACTGTACAAGCCCATGGCAGGGGGGGAAAAGTGGAATGGCCCTGGAGCGTCCTGAAATGAAGGAAGATAACACCAAAAAAATACAGAAACACACAAATTGGTTCACTCTAACAGCCATTTAGTCTCATGACTATTATCATTAGCAGTTATCAAAGATTATTCACGGGGCACCTGGGTGGCTCTTGTTTTCAGCTCAGGTCATGATCTCAAGGTTGTGGGATCAAGCCCCGAGTCGGGCTCCACACTCAGTGTGGAGTCTGCTTGTCCCTCTCCCTCTACTCTTCCCCCCATTTGTTCTCTCTAATAAATAAAGTCTTTAAAAAAAAAAAAGATTACTCACATTATCATAATAATGATACCCACCATTTATTGAGCACTTATGTACCATTCCTTGGGCTAAGCACTTTATAAACAGTATCTCCTTTTATCCTCATGTCCACTCTATGAGGTAGATGGTATTATCAGAGGGTTAAGTACCTTGCCCCAAAGTCTCAACTAAAAGATCATTCATTCCATTTGCACCTCTGGAGGTGTTTCTCCAACTTGGCTATCTCTAGTCTAAAGTGTACAATTGAAATCTCACCAAGGATAAAATGATTCTTTCTTTGGTTCCAATTCTCTTTGGAGGAATCCCAGCACTCTGTGGACCCAAGACTATAAGGGGCCATTATCAGGGAAAAAACTGCAGGAGCTAGAAGGTTCCCCTCTGGGTCCTTTGTCTTTGCACCAGCCCCTATGCCAGACGAGTCACCCGCTGGTCATCACCTGATCTTCACAACACCTCTATGAGGTAGGAATTATTAGCCCAGATTTGTGTCTAAGGCCACAAAGGCTCAGGGACATTATGTGAACTTGTCCAAGATCACTAGAAGTGACAGAACCACTGCTTCTGAATCTAGGCTTCTCCAAACGTCAACACTTGTGCTTTTTCTAGTGGCAAGAACACACTGCAGATAGGTGTGCTGTTTCTGTCCAAATCCTGGACTTGGGGAGCGCTTCCTGCAATTTTTTTCCATCAACTTGGCATGTCACTATCTGGAAGAGCGTCCCTTTTGGCAAACTCTAAGATTACTCAGAGATTTGTGAAATTAAAGGACTTAGACGTTGTTAAAACAAACAATCCTGAAGAACCTCAAGCCCAATACTTCTTTTTCTTTCCTACCTTTTATGCAAGCTCTCTATAAGTGAACACTTACCCTAAACAGCAATTCTCCATTCAGATCCCCAATTTGTTGTAAAACATACCAAACACGTGTCCACAATTCATATCATCTCCCATATGCAGCAAAGGTCTCTCTCTCTGTTGTCCTGCCCACATTCTAATCATTCCCAAATACGTCAATTCATTCATTTATTCAACACTTAGAACCACTTTCTCTGTGACAGACGTTGTGCTGGCGGCCCTACCCCACTTGTCTGCATTTCTCCAAAAACACTTAAGCTCCAAGAGGGCAAGGACCATGTCTGTGCGGCCCCCACTGTGTCCTATCCATCCCCCACCCTTCCTGCCCTGCCTGCCATAAAGTGCTCCCAAAAAGTTTGTTAAATGAATGAATGACAGCTCAAACAACGCACCAGTGTAAAACCACAGCAGTCGCCCACCCCCACGCCCTCATAAGGCGGCAGGAATACAGCGGGCTACTTTGCTGATCGGAAGAAGCTAAATACTCCCTAACAATTCACTCCCAGAGTATCAAAACGAAGGCGGCAAAAGCGTCCCGCAAATACTGGAACGTCTTCCTTCCAGCCCCGCACAGAGGAAGCCTGAGCGTCCCGGTAAAGGTCAAGTGGGTTGCCGGGAAACCTGCCCTTGTGCGGGCGCCCCAGAAGCCCAATGAAACCCGAAGCCGCAGTCCGAGATTTAAGAACTGTTAACAAGAGCAGAGGAGACCTGACAGGGTGGAAAGACTGGCCCTGACCGTCACTCGAGCCCGGCCCGGGGACGGGGGCGCAACTGAAGTCCGAGTCCCAAGTATCTGGCCTTCTCCCTCCTCTGGGCTCCCGGTGCCACCACGCTCGTGGCCTCGGCAGCGTCCGTTCTCACCCACGTGCCTGAGGCCGAGAAGCCCTGGCCGCAGAGGTTCCGCTGGGCGCCCGACACGGCCTCCGAGCCCTGGGAAGAGAGCTGTCAGGCCCACCCAGGGCCGGAGCGGACACTCGCAATCACCCTTCCCTAACTCAGAGGTCACTGCCAGGAGCCGTCACCCGGACAACGGGAGGCCCCGGCGACCGCTCCGGGGAAGGGAGCTGCCCGCTGGGACCGCGTGCTCACCTGCACCGCAGCTCGCACTCCACGGTCCTGCCCCCGCCCTCTGCCCGCCCCCGAGCGAGCCTTCTCGCTTGCTCGCTCGCCTGGAGCACCGACGTCGCCTCTCCCAGCTGCCCGCGGGGCCTGGCCCCGGGACCCCGCCCACCGGCGCCTGCTCTTTCGGAGCGCGCCGATTGGCTGAGCTCCAGTCAAAGGACCGGAGGAAGCTGAGCGTCCGCAGCGGAACCCGCTGCGCCGAGATGAGGACTGCGCCCCCTCGTGGCCTGGAGAGTTTCCCCAGTGACGTCAGCACGTGCTTTCCGCGTGGAGAAAGTGGAAGGTCATCCATTCATTTATTCAACTGATGTTTATTAGGCGTCTCTAAGACTTAGGTCTGGACACACAAAAACAAAAGACATGTTCCTTAACTTCAAGAAGATCTCCTTAGCAGGATATAGTCTAGAACTCTGAGACCTCTTCAAATCTGGGCTAGTTTTTAGCCATGTGACCTTGGGAACACTATTAATCTGCTGGAGCCTCCTTTCCCTCTTATGCATAAAGGTAATAACATCTATTTCAAAGGATGTTGTGAGGGTTTGATGAGATAATGCATGTTAAGTGCTGTGCCAGGTACATAGCAACAGGGAAATAAATGGTACTATTCTCAGTATACAAAGAACTGAAATATAATGAAACCTAAGTCTTGCCTGACCCCTTGATACAAGTATTCACTCCCCTTGTGTCCCCACTATGCCCTGTACAGACATCTATTTTATCAGGTATAGCTGACCTCTGAACAACAGGGCCTGAAACTGTGTGGGTCCACTTACACATGGATTTCTTTTTTCAATAAATGCGGAATGGTACTAGAAATATATTTTCTCTTTGTTATGATTTTCTTAATAATATTTTCTTTTCGCCTGCTTATTTTATTGTAGGAATACAGTACATAATACATATAACATACATAATATGTGTTAATCAGCTGTTTATGTTATCAGGAAGGCTTCTGGTCAACAGTAGGCTATTAGTAGTTAAGTTTGGGGGATGTCAAAGTTATACATGGATTTTCCACTGTTCGGGGGGTGGGTGCCCCTAGTGCTGTCATTGTTCAGGGGTCAACTGTATAGAAAAATAACACCAAAGCTCAAGCTCTGGAATGCCCCCACTGGCCCTACCTTCTCACCTCTGTTCCACGAGTCTCAGCCACGCATTTTTACTTATCTTTAGTAACACAGGCTAAACCCCTCATATTCGCCCATGCAGACCAAACTGTTTCAAACCTCTGTGCCTTCATTTATTATGCTTTTTCATCTACCTGGAGTGCCCTTCCCACCTTTCTTTACCAAAGTAGCTCTGGCTCATTTTTCGAGCTTAAGGGACACCTCCAGAGGAAGCCTCCTAGACTGCATCATCACGTTAGATGCCCTTCCTCTATGATCTCAAAGAGGTCAGTGCTAAGCTCTCGCAGCGGAGATAGAGAGAAAAGAACAGTATAGAGAAATACGTAAGAAACCATTATTAGCAGCACTTGTTCCCTAGATGAATGTGTAGAGAAGAGAAGGGAACAGAATTACCTAGAACAATTAGCATTAGAACATCGACATGTGCTAGACACTGGGGATACAAAAATGACTAGAACCCCCCCTGCCTTCAGGAGTTCTCAGACCAACCGCTGGGGAAGCAGAGGGCTCTACAAACTGTCAAGGGAGTGTGAGAAACATGACAGCAGAAGCATGCATAGGTAGCGCAGAGGAGGAACCCAGGAAGAATCAGCTAGGGCTTACCAGAGGAACCTGCCCTTGAGCTGAGTCTCAAGTGATGGCTAGTAGTTCAGTCAGGCAGAACTGAGTGGAGCTTGAGAGCACAGACCTAGGAATCAAAAGCGGGTTCAAATCCTGGCCCTGCTGCCTGCTAATCTCAGAAAAGCTGTTTACATTCTTTGTTTAAGCAGATGCAATGAGAGTAACCCATCCCCTAGGGTGGTTCTGAGTCCTAGTCACGTAATGTGTATAAAACGCTTGGCATGGTACTTGGCGCCTCCTGAGTGCTCAGTAAATGGCCACTGGTATGTTTAGTATTCCCCAAGTTGATTCCTCCTTCTGTAATGATCTATGTCCACTTATGGTTTTACTTATTCACTAAGCCAAAAACCTAACTGACATCTTAAAATCTCATCTTTGCACTATTCCCCAAACCCAGCTTAGAGCACGTGAGTCTCCTGAATGTCTCTCAAGTTCTTCACCATCCTCATCTCTTACCTGGGCTACCTTAGCAACTCCCTCAATGGTCTCACTGCCTTCTATTTCTCCCTCCAGTCCATTTCCATTCTTAGCCAAAGGGTCTTTCAAAAGCTTAAATAAAACCATGAAGTCTCCGGGGCACCTCGGTGGCTCAGTCAGTTAAGCATCCGCCTTCGGCTCAGGTCATGATCCCAGGGTCCTGGGATTGAGCCCTGCATTAGCCTCCTTGCTCAGTGGGGAGCCTGCTTCTCCTTCTCCCATTCCCCCTGCTTGTGCACACTTGCTCTCTCTCGCTCTCTCACTCTCTCTCAAATAAATAAAATCTTTAAAAAAAAATGTGAAATCTCCAGCTTAAACCCCCTCTCTTCTGGAACACGGGTCCCTTCTGGCCACATCTCCTCTATGCCCTCTATACCTCTGTCCGAGCCTGTCACCACCCTCCAGTCTCTGCTCTTCCCATGATCCCACACACACAGACATACCCTACCATGCATTTGCCCAAGCTGGTCCCTCTGCCTGAAATGAATGTCTTCCCTCTCTTCCTCTGCTGCAAAACTCTAACTCATCCTGCAAGACCCAGTTCAAAAGGCCCCTCTTGCAGAAAGACTCAACTGACTGCAAGAGGCCTCCTCCTTTGGTATCCTCAGCCCCTCTGGGAGAAGCCTCCCTCTGTACATGCCATTCTCTTTATGTGCCTGACTATGGCCACCTGGGAGCGATTGAAAAGCACAGGGACTGGATCTAATCCTTCACTTGTCCATGGAGCCCAGCACAACTGCCCAACCCTCAACATCCAAAGACTCCCCACCACATCAGCTCCACATGGGGAGATTTAGATGTCAGTCTGTAGCAAGATTCCCACTACATACATTCAGGGCTGCCCTGCTCCTCTGTGCCCATCCCATGTACCTCCTGGTCCTGGGAAACGTGGCCCAGTTTCTAGGAAAAGACATAGAGCCATAAAAAGCTGTAGAGTATAGAAGGTTAAACTCAGACTCAGCCACTTCTCAGCTTTGTGATTTGGGGTAAGTTGTTTAGACCTCAGAGTGTTAGTTTTCTCACCTGTAAATGGTGGTAACAACAATATCGGCTTCAAGGATTGCTCTGAGTATCATCTAGTACAAACCTTGCCCACGTCCCAGTTTTAGAGATGAAAAAACTCAGTCTCGGAGAGGTGAAGTGACCCAGCTAAAGGCTCACTTGGCAAGTCTAGGGGAAATAGACAAATGGGCATTTCCAGTGGAAACTTTTGGACGATCACCCAACCTAAGTGTTCTCAAACCTGGCTGCCCATCAAAATCACCTGGCACACTTGTTAAAAACTCATTTGGGGGCAGAGAGTCTATTCACAGTCTTGGACAGGGCCCAGGAATCTGTGTGGGATCAGCTCCAAGCTGACTCACTTTCGGGAATTTAGATCACATGGGGCTCCTCTCCACTTTCCAGTGGTCTCATATAAATGTGTGTGTATGACCTCTTGCTTTTCAAGCAGTCTCCCACGCTGGCCTGTAAAATAGCTGTTCATGCCCCTCTCCTGTTCAAAACCCTTCCGTGGCTCTCCACGGCTCTGGGGACGCAGGCCCACCCACCTCAAGTTGACCCAAAAGCCCAGCATGGTCATGCCTCTGCACTCCCGATGCTCCCTCTCCTCCTGGCCTTTGCATAGCTGTTGTCTGAGCTTGGAACATTCTTCCCAGCGCTGGCCCTCCTCCAGTGGCTCTTTCCAGCACTCACCCTTATTCTGTAACTGCTTGTTTACTTGTCTGTTTTTCCCATAAGACCGTTAGCACCATAAGAGTAGAAATTACACTCGTTCAGGGCTATCTCCCAGGTGCTGGCCAGGGCCAACAGTGGTTCTTGATAAATGGCTGCTGAATAAATGAACGAGAATTGTCCAGTCCAGTGTGGCCCAGAAGGGCAGTCGAAGCCTTGGATGGCTCTTCTTCCTGCCTCAGGGTGACACATCAACCCCAAGCAATGGATGGGGTTGCCAGACCGGGTGGGGGCTGCCATCACACCCTTTCTGGACTCTGAAAGCTGTAGAGTTAAAAGCTCCCGGTTTGGCATGAAACAGACCTGGGTCCACCACTCCTAGCCCTGCCTGTGACTTTGGACAGGTCACTGAACCTCTCCTGAGCTTCAGCTTTCTCACCTGTCCTAAAGATGAGCTACATTCATGTAAAGCACTCCCCCTCCACCCCACCGCCTGACCCAGAGCAAACATCCCATAAACATTAGCCAGCACTACTAGCGGCGTTGCTACTTAGCTTCCCAGGAAAGTTCCATTCTCCTCCTGGGCCGCCACCAAAGTGCCCACCCAGAGGAGGCCTCAGAAAAGGTGACAACACTAAATTGAACAGCATTTCTGCTGCTGATCAGGAAGGAGCGGAACAGAGACTAACACAGGACCCTTAGAAGAAGGGAAACCAGTATCCATCCGCATCTAAGAATAACAGCACTCCCTGTTTATTGAGCACAGGCCGGTGGGCCAGGCACTGGCCTCTGGCCTGCCCGGTTGCAGGAAAGCCTGGGAGCACTGGGGGGGCAGAAAGACAAAAATGGACTGAACTAGGAGTGGTGAGGAAAAGACCCTGCCCTCCTCACCGCCCCTGGGCCGCTCCAGGAGGGCTCAGGTCCTTCTGTGGCCACCAGGGGGCCGAATCCTCTTTGCCCCAGCTGGCCCAGGTTACCACACTCTCCCCCAAACGGAGAGCGCTCCTGGCCCCTCTCCCTCCACTCCCCTACCCATCCCCCATTTCCCGGCCCCCCCCCACACACACACACACTCCCGGCTCCCATGCACGGGGAAGAGGTGGC